CCCCCTTTGCTACGCTCGCTCTAGCAAATCACACCAGGACGTTAAATATCCAGTCACCTGAAGATGGGATTCTCTCGCAGAAACTGGTCAGAGGAGTCGCGGGCAAAATACAGCCACATGCAACGGGAGTACCAAAGTATTGTAGATAGTTTACTTTTTGAATTTCCCATGTTTTGAGCCTTTTTATGCCCATGGCAATGTAATATGGCTCATCGCTGCTTTTTCCCTTTCCAGGGGCCCGTCAATACGTTCATGATGTGACATGAAAAACCGTTATTTTTGGCCTGTCCTTGATCCTGTGATCAATGATATATCCATCTCTTTGATGCAATAATACCCAATAACCATGATTACCATTTCGGGAAGTCCCTTTTGCTCCCCCCACCAAAGCCACTTCTATCTTATATGCGAACCTCTGCCAGTTCCCTTCATGAAAAGCCGCTTGTTCCGTGGGGTATGTGTAGACCAAAATCCGTGTACCGCCTACCCTTACGCCGGGTGGATATAATGTGTGTAAAAGAAAAGTTGATAAGTTTGCCCTCCCGATGGAGCCCATCGTGGTGTGATATCAAAAAGAAAAAAATTTTAAGTGGGAAAGAAGCCGTCGCAGTTTCGTCCTGAATCCCCCGCGAGCAGCAGTCCAGACTCCAAAAGAAATCAAGCCGTAGTAACGCCCCAAGTATGTTGTTCGTGAGGGTTTCCCCTGTCGCGCTGCAAGGTTGAAAAGATGCCCCGGAAGGGATGCCGCCTAGAAGAATACAGTCGGTTCCGCCCTTCGTAATGACAGCCGTCATTAGCGCTTTACGGCCGTGACCTTCGTTCGTTAACCAGCCGCGAATGTGTCAAAAGTCGTCTTGTGCCCGCTGATCGGTCGACTTGATCTGTTTGACTCCGTGTAGTCTTCCTCAGTGTCCCATCTCGTAAACGGCTGGCGTAGGCTTCGACTCTCGCTTAATCGTGGTTGTCACGTATACACCGCTCGCAGGCACCAACCCAGCCGATGATGCCCTGCGCATACTTTCCGCCTCTAACGATACCTTGTCGCTGGTCGCAGAGTTAGAGCGTCGGCTGTTCAAAGGTATCTCGCCCACATCGCCCATGACGTGCTTCTGGCTCGATGCGATGTGCGGTGAGTAAGGAGCTCCATCCTGACGGCGGAAATCTTCGACGAATGGCTCGCCTCTGGAATTGCCGCTTGACGAGCCAATGGTGGCTTGGTTGTCCTTTGAAGTCACCCACTGTACAACAATAGCAGAGAAAAGGACTAGGAAAAGAGGTCAGCTCAGTCTGTTAGGACAAGGTGAGGTGATGGTGGACATACTGTCGCTGTTACAGCACATAAGGCAGACCCAACCGGGCTCACCGTTGAGGACCATGAGTACGGTCAAGTTACTGTAGCGAGTCAGCAACTTCGAGTTTAAATTAGAGGTGTGCCCGACTTACACAATGCTGCTGGTGAGCGTGCATAAGGCACCAATAAAGGTGCGGAGGGCGACGCTTCTCAGTCGGATGTTGGCAGTTGTTTTGGGGAAGTTCTTGAATGAGTAAAGACCTGCAAGGGATTAGCTTCATTGTTGCGTGGCTAGTTTATTGGGATGCCTGGACGAGCGTACGCTTGAGAGGAATCAGGAAGAGAATCGTGAGGTAGACGTTGACGACGGCGTCGAAGGAGATGAGCGGAATCATCGAAACCTTTTGCATTCCAATATAACACTGTCCATCGTCGATTCGTGTAATCCGGCTTTTCTATTGTCAGCAGTGGATCAAGGCATTGATAGGTTGACATTGGCTTACAAGATGAAGTTCAGAATAGCAATGACTACGTAGACGCCCAGCATGCCAAAAGAGTTGAACAGATAGAGCTTGGACTGCAGTCTCGGTTTTGTTGCCCCTCTGATGATGTGCTTCAAGGGTGTCAGCTCTGACCCTTGGGTAGTCTCGTGGATCGAGTATACGCACTGCTTTCTCGACAAGGAAGAGATAGATCAAGACTTTTGTCGACAGGTAACAAACTAGACATAGTAAAATGGCGCCGTCACAAATTTGAACATTGTTGTTGATTCCGAGGGCGAATTGGAGAACCGCTGTGACGAAAACGAAGAGGTACGAATCGATATAGACGGCAAGCACGACTGTGAAACTATTAGCATCACGAACGGCTGCAGACACCAGAACCAGTACGCACGCCAGACCACGAACGGTATCCTCCTCCAATTTCTCAATACTGTGCATCTTTGAACTGTTCATCCTTCGTCAGTATGCCGCTCCACGGAACCGTGTGAAGTGGGCCTCAAACCAAAAAATGCAGAGATGATACTGATAGAGACCAGACAGATGATGACGCTCATCACTGTTCCTCCAATGGGCTCTGATGTGTGTAGGCCTTCGGGATTCGCCCGGGCAATCATTTCTGGAGCCGGAGCCATCGTGTCCCAAGGATGATATGTCGATTTGAATCGGATATGGATTGTTGGACCACGATCTTTCGCACACGAGAGGGGCGTTCGGGTTAGGTAGGGGTACCAATGGGGTCAGAAGAACTATATACCAAGCACACCGCAAGGAACCGGGGACGCTAGAGGAAAGAGATCGACGGCTTTGATGTCCGAGCTACACTTCGTCTCGCAGTGACTGGGAGGGGGACACAACTGTCTTAAAGTTTCGTCCAACAGGTGATCGAAGCGTGCGTGCAGGGACGGGATGGGAGGGGGCAGCTAAATGTGCAGACAGCAAGCCGAATGCTGCTACAAGGATGGAGGAGGTGACCGATATGCTAGAGGCAAGGGGGAAGGAATAGACTCATCTGCCCATAGATTTTATCCTCCCTCACCCTCTCCCTCCTCTCTCTGTGGGTGTACATGTACCTCTCTCTTAGCTCGGGGGAGCGTATTTGGTGGAGTGATCCAGGTGAATGGGTGATAGCAAGAAACCAAACCCACTTAGGAAGAGATCAAAGGCGTTTGTTTCTGGCTCTCACCTTGCTCGGTGGAAGCTACCGGTCCATGGTCCAAGACCGGTCGCGGCTGGTTGACTCGGACAAAGTCACATCAAAGTACCTACTAGTACTGAACAGAAGTGAACAAGTGACGGCGTTGAAAAATGGAATTGTCCTAGAGGATAGCTCCATGTAGCTACGGGAAGGTAATTCGCGTAGCGGCCCCTGATGCAAGCCAAGGGGACGGGTATTCAAAAAAGAAGAAAGAAAAAAAGAAAAAAAAAAGGTTCATGAAGCCCGAAGAAGAAACGGTTTGAAGACAAGTACTCACAGTTTGGAGAACAGCATGTATGTGAAATGTGTACGCCCGCTACGGTGGTCTCGGCTGGGAACCAAGGGAGAGGTGAGGGATTGCAAGAGAGAGACACACAGACGTACAGTATGCCAGCCGTCTGGGCGTGCACAGCACAAGCCGAGCCCCAAACGGGCAAAACGAAACTGAAGAGACGGGGAGACGGGCACCTTACCGTAGGATTCCTCAGCGTCGTCAAGAGGAGAAACGGTGTCGGTATGGGCTTGGTGTGCACCCACCCCCCGACAAAGGGGACGACAGGAAACAAGAGCAAAAAAGGATGCTTCGTCGCCAAGCTCATGTCACGGTGACGGGACGAGGACGGGACCCCAGGTAACTGAGTCGAGGTGGAGGGGCAAATCGTTACGAGAGGGAAACTCTAAGCCGATGTACCCTTTATCCTACGTGTGCCCATCTCTCTGCGTCTGCACTGGCCTTGCCTTTGGCCTGCATTTTGTGACCTTCCACACTCGAGGCCTCGCGGGGAAGAGTGGTTCATCGAACATCGTTTGGTAGTGGGCGCGTGGGAAGTCTATACTACGCAAGTCTTACACACACTACTACGTAGCTCGACCAGGAGCGGAGAGCTCGTACCCATGTCCGGTTGGAGGGCTCGACGGCGCAAGGCAGAGGTTTATTGCGACTCTGGAACGGAGCAGGGGTTATTTGGGTTCAATCCGGTTGCCGATCTGGTTTATAAACCAACCAGCTCCATTCAACATCGACGAACGTTTGGCCCTAAAATTTCTCCATGTCGACCAGGTGAATCAATCGGATTTGCTATACTGCAGAGCACATTGGATGGCTGACTTACTGTCTTTCTCCCACTTTGGCTTCTTCAATAACCCCTTCCACTGGCCCAGATACTGTAGGCTTAACTAGATTTGGAGATTAGCTCGCCGGCCCCGGCCCACCTGCGGTTCAGCTCAAAAGCGCTGCGATATGTAAAGCTCCGCAAGTGACAGCTGTAGCTTGGGCCCTTTCCCGAGCGCCTCTGACGAACAGCGTACAGCGCTGCCGCTGAGCACGTCCTGATAGGTTGCGAGCGACTGTGCACATGTAGTCCGGTGTGTGGTTCATCGGTCCCGGCGAGCCGTGACCCCTAGCTCTGGGCCTATAGGAGGCTATGGTGGGACGGACGGATATTTTGATGGCATTTACCGTAGGTGTTTTGGTGCTGCGTAACGATGGGGGTTAGACAGGGATGGAATGGTGAGCCGCAAGTCGACAAAGAAGCCGTGGGCGCAGAAGATGCGGATCTGTAAGAAGACCTATTGCCGGTAAATCACAATGCTGGGGATGGAACAAGCATAGCTGTTCTTGGGAGCCTCTTTTTTTTTTTTATAACCCGACGTTCTGGTGGTTCCCGGCGTAAGCATAATACAAAAACGTGAGACATGTTGCCGGCTATCTCGCGCCTCATTCGGTCGATGGGTTCTCTTGAGGTTAATTTAGCCGCTTGGCCATCATGATGTTGTGTGAAGCTGGCTCGCTTACGGCCGGGTGATCGCTCGCGTCCAGAAAGCGACCAGAAGATGGCAAAGCGAAGAAGGTTTGGCCCAGCCAGATCCGTGAGGAGGGTCAAGAAACTTGAATCAATGTGGTTGGAAGGAATAGAGACGAGATTTTTGGCAGGCCCGTCGGCCGACCGCACTGTCCGTCCGAATGACGGCCGAGACCGCCTCCTTTGTTTCTCATGGCGTCCCTCCTCTCCCATTCGTAGTCCGCTGCATCCCCGAATTCAGCAATTGGCCATTGCGGATGAGCTCCTGGAGCTAACGTTGGTGAGTACGTAAATGTTTGTTTCCCAGTTTGAGTCTGTGGGTGTACGGGGAGCCCGGGCGGACAGCGGGCATAGTGCATCATTCCGCGATCCAGGGTTCCGTTGACCGTTTGAGATTGTGGCATTTCAACATCGCTGCTCGGGCTGAAGCACTCGTTGTCTGGCGGCTCAAGGAACTTCGTGATCATGCGGGCACGCTATGCCGAGAGACGGTGGCCGTGGAAAACGTCCCAAGAGTCTCAAGGTATTGTTCTCGATGGTGCGGCTGACCTTGAACGCGGCAGGCACGAAGCTTCTCTCTATCGATCTATGTCGATCTATCGGTCGAGCGCCTTCATGGCTTCCAGATGATGGCGCCAATCACATTCGTGGCGAGGAGAGAGCTGAGCTTGTAGCTCAGCGAACGAGCTTGGACGAGTTGCTTCGGGTCCTCTGCGATTAGGTTGCCACGGAGGCCGCAAAGTCGCAATCTTGCTCTCGAAGAAGGAGGCATAATCCGCAAGGTAATAATTGAGTGAGACCTCTGTCCAGAGTTTTTTGGTGTAAAAGCGACTTCCCTTGTGTAAGATATCCTCCCTGGAGCTACCTGAGCTGAGTCACGACACCGCAGTCCGATGCGGCGTACGAATACCTACCCAATCGAGGTCCCGGTCATGCAAGGTCTAGCTCGGTCTAGACTCGGACTAGTGGCAGAGATAGGGCTGCCGGCGCCGGGTCTCGTAAGACACCGTGCACATCACTGGAGCAGGGCCGGCAACAACACCGACACCGGCACAGGACTTTTGTCCGCCATCAACCATATTCTGTTCCCTTTTCAGGCATACCAGGCGACAGGTCTCGGGGGCCCTTGCCGCTCGCGCTTTTGCCGCTTGCCGCAAAAGCGGTGCTGCACCTACCGTACATTGTAGAAACTCGTCAAGCCTGAATTTGCGCCAGCCCGTGCTCCCGTTGTCTTACCAGAGATTTGACCAAGATGAGCCTTCCCTCAGCCTGTTTACCTCAAAATGTCGCGGAGATCAGCGTGTTCTTGGTACTGAGGAGGGCTTTTAATGCAAAATCCGAGTTTGACAAGTTTCTACGGTATGTCAGGCGTCAGGCGTCATTGCTACTCTGACACTAAACCAGCCCCGAGAATAAGCTGAAGGCCACACCCTCTGCATCCATCAGGAGGCGGCGGTAGGCCTCACTGCCGTAGAAACCAACGCCCAAGATTAGAGTCGTATTTCAAAATGGATGGACAACCAACGTTCCATCCTGCGTGGAAGGCGGTAGACGAGGGTCCAAGGTGGTTAGCGGATGCAGATCCCGTGTGCGGTCCGACGTCCTCAAACCAGAGCGAATGAAGTGCGGTTACACTTGCCAAAAGGTAAGAAACACCAAAAAAGCACGCGAGCGCAGGGCGATGTGTTCGGGTTCCTCGCATACAAGTCCGAGGTATCGGGGAGAGACAAAGCAACTGCCTCGAACTCGACAGAAGCAAAGATGAGCAAACATTTGATAAAACTCCGTCCGTATGCACCTTCAGGTACCTTACTCTGTATACGTACGGATAGACCAAAGAACTACCATACGTATCGCTGGGAGGAAGAACATCTTTTCCGCTAGTGTCCCCCGCCCGACGTCCCCAGAAACACTGGAGCTACGTGGCTACCTACCTACACAGATAAGAGCCCCTGCTCGCCTAGCAGAGCGGTCTGTGCAAAGTGTCCCGGGGAAAAGAACCAAAAGGCAGGGGCCCCCACCAAGCTCGACTGATAACGACGTCACCATCAGCCACAAGCTGCAAGCCACGTCCACAGCGCGGGGGTGGCCAGTGAGACCTCAAAATACCATCTACATACGGATACAGCAGCACCTTCTTCTACTTGTTCGTAAAGCAGAGACGCGTGACTCGAGCCACACCGCTCCCAGCTCTAGCTCGACCAGACATCTGTTCCACCACTGCTCCACCACTGCCGTAGGCAGCTGGGCGACAGACTATGCTCTACGCAAACGTTTCTTTATCACATATGGACTGTTCGGAAAGCCTTTCAATCCCCCAACTCCCGTGACCTAGCTGCTGTGCCATCCAATCTCGTACGCGGGCACGCCAGATCTCTCGTCGAATCCCGAGGTCGCCGGACAAGGCATTCCAGAGCAGTTACTGCAGGCTTGCCCACCACTCCGGTTCTTGGGACCTTGGGAAGCTGCGGAGAGGTGATCTTTGTCAAACCGCATTTGGGTTCCGTGGACGGATCCAGTCATCGATCTCGTCAGACACGACGAACTCAACGAGAGCTTCTGAGACAAGAGTACCTGCCGTGTGTACTATGTTCTTATCTTGGCAAATCGCCAAAGCTTCCGCTACGTGATGATGGGCGGCTTTTCCGCAGAAAATTGCGGGCAGACCTGCTGTCGAGAGGACGTGAGAGTTCCCCCAGAGTGCAGGTTTGCCGAAACCAGTTAGGCGGAGCAAGACTTGAAGATCTCTTCCGTCCTCTCCAAGGTCCTTTGCCTCTGCCAAGACCTCGAGGAGCTTCCTTCCAGTAGCCACAGGCTCTCACAGGAGAAGAAGAGATTGGAGTCTACTCTTGGATTGGATATGCTTTCGGCAGAGGTATTCCAAGTACCAGGGAAGAAGAACGTAGATAGCTCAGAGTAATCTGGTATCCAAGATGTCATGGTGCAACATTGCAAGAAGCTAGAGTCTCCATCTACCTTGCTCACTAGAACCCGAAGCGAAGCCTTACAAATCATTGATGGTTTCAATTCAATTTTGAGGAAAAGAAAAATCGATATTTGATTCAGCAGGGAAAGCATGAAAGTATGATCACGAACAAGTGCAAGCTCTCCACCCCATCTCCAAAGGCGACATAGAAAGTACGCCAAATCAAAGAAACAGCTCAAGGTATACATGCAACTATCTTCACCTCTCCGAAGAATCTATTAGATTCCTCCCAGAACAACGCGGAACACGACACTCCCCGCGCCACGCAGCAAATCTGGGCTTCGCCAAGTCGAACACAAGTATCGCGGGCCCACGAATGATGGATAGCTTCGAAGTCAAAAACAGACATAAAGCCTCAGTTAACTACCTTACACAAACATCGTGAAAAACGTCCGAGGTGCTCCGTATAAAAAAAAAAGGGGGGGGGGGAGAAAAAGAAAAGGTTGGTTCCTCCCCACGCTCTTGTGTACAATAACGTACAAGTGCATATCGCTCCCCAAGATGAACGGCTTTCTCTCCCGCACGCAAACCCTTTAACGAATAGTCCCGCGGACAGACACCACTCGCCGCACCAAGGAGGACCGTCGTCTATCTCTTGTTCGCTCGCCCCTGACTGTAACACCGTAAAACCCCCCGGGGGGGCCTTCCGCGCCGTCAACCGGCCGAAATCTCCTCATTTTCATCCTCCCCCTCGAGGCGTTGCTAGAGCCGCCAAAAACCTTGAGAACTTCCCGTTGTCGCAGAGGCAAGAGATGCGATTTGCCTTGCTCGTCGAGGCGAGCAATTCCTTCTAGTGATATTTCCCTTCCTTCTTCCCCCTGTTGGGTAAAAAGGGCCCCTTCCTCATTGTTGTCCTCGTCCTCGCCGCTTAAATCCGCCTCTGCCTCCGCCTCCGCTTCCATGTCCCCTTTCCGCTGGCAGACAAAATCCCTTGGGCGTCTGGAATTAATTAGGTCTTCGCCATCCCAGGTAGCCTGGATGCTAAGCCCGTTCTCCCTCTCTCTCTCTCTCTATGTTTCTACCCAGGCCACTCTCGCTCCGTCCTTAGCGCCGTCGTCTTTGGCGTCCATTGATTCTACACAGTTGGTCTTGGCTCATTGGGCGTGTGTGGCTCTTCGCTGTCCCAGCTTTCCTGAGCCGTATATCACTGCAAGGCTAACCGAGTCATTGAATTCAGATCGTTAATCAACTACTGTCTATGCTATGCATTGTTCGCTCCCCTTCCCCGAACGACATGTTCTAAAAAAAAAAAATGATAAAATGATCCGTGTTGTTCCTAGATTCAACCCATGGCAGAATTGTGTAAACGTACATATTGATAATGGCTCTCGTTTCAAGCCCTTCTATTCCATACCGCCTTCGGCCCAGGTCATCTTTGTGATGGCTCCATTTCGTGGCCGCCATGCCAGGGATGAATCCATTAGATCACACGGCTTAGCCACATATACAGTCGCCCTCGCTTAACACTCAACGGCTGAAAGCAAATTGAGTACCTATAAGCCGGCGTCGCCGATTCCGCCATGCTTCCGTAAACCGCCCAACGCCATGCAATGTTGCCCTTGATGTTGTTTTGTGCCCATAACGCCAATGTCTATCCGTCGCAACTTGAAAGGGGGGATCTGGCCCACTTTGATGCCAGTGCAGCCTCAGATTCCGTGGTCGCCAATGTGTGTGTTATGCTGTTGTAGTCGTTGTTCTCTCGTTTCGTTCATGTCTCCTCCAAGGCTTGCTTGGATACGTCCGCATTTCGTAATATACGTCAAAGTGCCGATTGGCTTCTACCCATTGATTTAGGACTGGGGTCCTGTTCGAATCCGGAACTTGTCGCGTAGCTTATCGGCTAGTCTTGCCCTGCGACTCCTGTCGTTCCTCTCCTCACCTCCTACGTCGACCGTGCTACTAGTTTCACCTTGTACTTGGTGCTGGGTACGGTATTGTCGAAGGGCTTGGATACGCTCCTCTGCCGAAGCATGCCTCAACCTGTGAAGGTCAAATAGTCGAGTCCTCTGTCTCTGCGCGGTGGAAGAGCCATCGCTCTCATGTCCGTCCAGCTCAAGCGGGGGCGGAAGCTCATCGCTAGGGTTCTCTGATTCGCCTGGTGGGCGAAGGTCAAGACGGCTGAATACAAGATTAGTAACTTAGTCAACGATCGCGTCGCATACGTCAGGAACGCGCTGCAGAAGGAACAGCATGCAAAACTCACCATAATGGGCATGTGCCCGCGACGTTGACCAGCCAGGGGTCAACACAATTGGGGTGGAACTTGTGGTTGCAGGGCAGCACACGAACATCTTCGCCGACAGTGAAGTCTTCGGTGCAGATAGAGCAACCCAGATGCTCATCCTCCTGTCCGCCATCATCATGATTATCGGAGCCGGCCGCTTTGGCAGCGCCGGAGACACCGGCGTCTGTCCCGTCTGTCCCGTCTGCTGCAAGGGCACCAGTTGCCGTGGCGGCCGCGTCGCCAGTCGAAGTAGGGTTTGTCTCTGTCGCTGTCGCTGTTGCAGTGGCCCCGACATCCTTGGTGGTCACTGGAGTAGCTCCCTGCCTCTCAACACTTGTGTCGTTGATTGGTACATTTGATGCGCTTTCCAACTCGATATTGGGATCCGGCTTTGCCTCTTGTCGCTCGCCGAACTTGACGATGGGGATGGTGTCCAGCACAGCACGGGCGAGGCCCTTGGCACGGCTCTGGCGAGGACGGCCGTTGACACCGTTTCTGGGTCCGTACCTCTCAGGATAACGATGTGCCCTGACCGCACCAGTGGCGATGATGATCAAGAAGAGCAGTGTGATCAGACCCGTAATGCTGTACAAAATGCTCATGGCGACAGCGGAGTTGCTGCCGCCGCCGCCATTTCCCCCATCGCCGGCAGCACCCGTTGCATTTCCTGTGATGATGACCTTGATCTGGTCGCCCTCACTTGTGCCGTTGAGAATGCGCAGGGCCTGCTGGGAATCTCCAGCATCCGCCATTGTGAAGAGGGAATAGTACGACAGGTCCCCGGAAAGCATGCACCAGTTTCCAACCGTGCTATACAAGACAATAGCCTTCGGTTTGTTTTCCATCAGGGTACCCAGCATCATGTTCGGGTTGATGAAGCCACTGCCGTCTTGAGTGTCACAAGAGAGATATGCGACTTGCTTGTTTGAAGTGATCTGGTTGTAATTCGAAGAGTCGGCGGCTACCATAGTGCCCTCGATACGAACTGCCTATTCGATTGTTAGTAAAAGCCTATGTTTGCCTGGGCGGGTAGCGACAAGGCGGCGCTGCGCGTCCAGGTGAGGGTTGGTCTCGTACCCCGCGGACAACGTCAGACTGGTTCAAGCCCAGGTTCTCGGTCAACGGCATGACAATAAACGACAGTGGAACGGTGCCACCGGCCGTCGACAACGACATCTGCATGGCCGACTTCTCGCTCCACGATGGGATCTCGTTCTCGGGGGTAATGGTAACGGCCTGCGCCATGACGCTGACGACGGCGCAAGCCAGGATCTGTAGCAGTAGAGACGCCATCTTTCCTGTCGAATATTCCTCTTCTCACGTTCGCACGACGGTCGACGTCGCTTTCGGCGGAACGGAGGGGGAGGGGGGAAGAGCAGAGCCAAGGGGAAGTTCGTTTATTTCGGACGACAGAGGTGCAACCTGAAGAAAGAGGAAGCGCTCGGAAAAATGCGTCGGGAGATGTTGCAAAAGCGGGAAACCAGTTGTATAACGGCTCAAGTCACACGATGTGAGATGGCATGCAGTGCAATGCGTTCGCTGGTTGTTACAGAGGACAGGAAGTTTGGTTGTGATCGCTCGCTGGCAGGCCGATTATTTGGAAGAGAAGGTGGGGGATTGGCGTGTCACATCTCCTCGGAACCGTGGATATCAGATGGGCATTTTCCTCCCCGAGATTTGATCGCCAGCGGCCGAGCGATGTACGTTTGTGTGTATTGGTGGAAATGGCGCCTCACTGCAATGTTCGGGAGGCGATTATCCGGGTCTCGCTGTTGCTGTTGTCGCGATCGTCTTTGATTATTTGGTTGGGTGTTGAGATGCAGATGGGAAAAAGAAGGGCGGCTCGGCGGGCGGTGGTATACGGGGTCGTGGGCGGTGGTTGAAGGATGAGAGGGAAGAGAGACAGAAGTCACCGGAAGGGATGGGGAACGAACGGTAGTGGCGGGTCGCCCAAGAACACGGCAAGTGAACCGGACGGGCTCAGCGGTACTTGAGATTTTGGTGGTAGAAGGCAGGGCGAGCAAAGTACCCTTGCATAGTGGATCGCGAACGCCAAGACGAATGTGGAGAGGTGGACAGCGGAGGTCGGTCTCGCTTGCCGCGACACAGGGCAGCCCGGGTGCCCGGGCACCCGCGGCTTGGTCAGCTGTAGCAGAACTGGGACAGGATAAGGTGCGCTCGTGTCGGGTGACTCGACAGGATTAATCCAGTTGCTGATAACACACTACGTTCTACAATAATTTCTCCATGTAACAATGGCGGAGGGGTGTAGTAGTGTATCTCTGTACGGATACGGTACGGCATGGAACAGAGCCGCAAATGAGGCACAGCACAACTTGAGACAGCGAGGAACTCTGTCCAACGAGCAAACCGCACATGGTATATCGCATTATACATTAGGCTGGTATCTTACTGAGACTGACTATTCCTTCGATAACAAGGTACTCGGAATGACTGGCATCACCGCCCATCTGCACCGCCAGAGGAGGAACAGCAACCCACCTGAGATGAACTTGGTCTGATTCCAAGCTGCGAGCGAGCCGCGAGCTCCCTGGTTAATTGGGTGGCCATGTCATCTCCTGGGTTTTGACTGGGCGCCTCTCGGTGGCTCCGCCCACCTCAGAGATGCCCAGTTTTTCTGAGGCGTCGCGAGAAAAGACTTCGAAGTTATCTCTGGCACTCTGCAGGGACCTTGAGTCTCGAGACCGCACTAGAGAGTAAGCGACGTTAGTGATGCGAGTCGAGGAGCTTCGTCGGCATGTACCCGCACGCCTAAAACTGGGTGGGGGGATACCTTACCGAACGGGGCCACGTCAATCGCAAATATTCCGATGTACCCGCCTGCCTCGAACTTGGCCAGAGAGAGAGTTCACTAGACATTCTGCCCAGCCAGGGCTCAACTCTGTTTCTATTCTTCTTCCAAATTCCCAAGGGAACCCATCGCATCCGGGAATTTCCAGTCTTCGAATACCCTCTTAGGCAGGTGGACCTCTGCCTTTTGATTGCGCCTCATTGGAAATCAACAAGAAACTTGCTCACGGGACTGATTCGAAATACGGATGTTGTCGAATCATCTTGCTTCCGACATTGTGTTTACAATCACAATCACAATCACAATCCCGCGACGCCCGTCGAGGTGGATTATCTCCCGTATTTTGACCGAGTCCCGGCAGCAGATTCGCGAACGAAACGGCAACATTTGGGGCATTCTGACTGGCCTATGCTTCTTGTACTCCCTTTCTCTCCGCCTCCATCGCCGTAAGAGAGACAGCCAAGCCTGGGCGTTTGCTGGGCAGCAGCAAGGGCAGAATCACCGTCTCCATCGCACGAGAAGAGTGTTTTTTCATTTTTCAGACCGCGCGACTTGAATCTCGAGTCAGGCCTACTGAACTGGTTCATTCCGTCCCAGACTCGAACCGAAGTCAAAATTTTGTCAACGGGAAATTTTGATGAGAGGAACTCCTGCACGATGGCACGAACCACCAACTGACCGCAACCTGTCACGGCTGCATACGAGACACTGGATCCTTGCGTAAGCCCATCAACATCTTGACCAAGTCACCTGACCGACAACAACAATAACAACACCGAGAAAAACAAAAGAACGATGGCACAGCCACGGCATCAGGCGCGGCTAGGGCCTCAATCCGCCCTCGGCTCGAATGCGAGACGTGTCGGCAACGAAGATAATTAGAGACTGCAAATGAAGTGACAGAGGCTCAATGATGCGACACGGAGGTCACCTGGCAAGGGAACGGACGGCAGGGAAGGACGGCAAGCCGCCAAAAGGGCTGGGCCAGAGCCTCAATCAAAACAAAACCGCAGCAGAACGCGGCACAGTGAGCCGCTTCCATCCATCAATCACTCACTCACTACCTTGCCGTCTACTACCTTGTGCGACGAGCCAGTGAACACTGATGAATCAGGCTTTCGGAAGGAGCCATTTTCCCTCCGAAAAAAGCCGCCTCGACCTGCTCCTCAGAGTCCCGGCTACCGCTCCGGATCATCCGCAAACGCTATGCTTCTGTGTCTTTTCCCCATCAAAATCCGCCATTGACAGGACCTTGGATACCTTATTTTCTCTCGGGATGCGGGCGACGGACGGGAAGACAATTGGTAGGTAATTGGACGGGGAGATAAAGGATGGGAAATAATCAAGGTTAGGTACCTTAATGCGTGATGAATGTAAGCACACAGACACCCACGCTTCCCCCCCTCCCCCCCGCCCCCCGCAAAATTCCCATAACAATCTGAGCGCATCTCTGGTCGCCGGGATCCTTGCATCGCGACCGTCCCATGCTTCGCAAAAACCCCGAGAGCTTCTCTGTTCTATATTGTTCTCCCTTTTTGCTCTTTCCGGTTAAAGCCCCAACCAGCCACAGGCTCAACGGTTTCGGGGAGCTGGAATACCACCCGACCACAGACAGCCGAACGAAACCTCCGACCACGCTGAGACGGCGAACCCCGTTTGAGCGCAACTCAAACAGATGAAGCTCAATGCTATATCCTCCATCGTCCGCCCGTGTCTCATCTTCCGCTGCCCTCTTTCGGCGCTTCACTGTATCACTCAGCATAGTCCTCTGATTTACTCTGCCCTTTTTTGCGAGCCACCATACACCGTTAACTCTGCTCGACCCAGCCCAAGATATACGAGAAGGCAAAACCAACCACCACCATCCTCTACTACTTCCCCCCCTCCCCCCCCAGATCGCAGCCAACCGCGGCAACGTCTCGCGATCTCACCAGGCCACACTCACATCTACTCCGGACATCCGATCCAACATCGTCGTCATTGAGAGACCACCTTGAAAGATTTGTATCAGCCCAGTCGCGCGGCAGATTGGCATCAGCAACATGTCAGACGATCCAGACGGATCGGCCTGAAAAGTGTTTTTTTTTCTCCTTTGCACGTCTAGCCAGCCCATATCAAGCTACACGAACCCCTTTCCCTCTGGCAACGAAGTCCCGTAGAGATTGAAAGAGCTTCAACCCCCAGGTTGGATGTCTTTCGGTCCAGTAGATCGGAACTCTTTTGACAGCCCTCGCCCGAGGGGGGCTCTGCTTCATCAAGTGGCGATCGGTCTCCGGTCAGTTCGGATGCGAAATATCATCCTCTTAGGGTTGGCTCTCCAGCTAGCTTCCTGGAATAAGGAACCCTCGGTCTATCCGCCCCCACCCCCTCCCCCCCTCTTCTTCGCGCTGTTCCACGTGGTTTTCGCTTTCTGCCACACACCTTTTCTGAACCTTTCCTCGCAAACCTTGGTCGCCAGTGTGTGCTCAGGTGACATTGATGCCGTTCACATCGTTTGCAGAGCAACCTCCAGACACCTCCCGAAGAGCCCGAAGAGCCCGAAGGGGACTCCCGACCCCCTGAGGCCATACTCGTTTGGTCTGCCTGGTTGAGCCAGTTATCGCGGCCTCATTGGTATGCAATGTCTGCTGAGGAACTTGCTCCATCTTTTATGGATGGCCAGACCTTGACATGGCCAGCTTCCGCTCACAGTGCCTCGTCTTCACTCCGAGCCGCAGTCGCCGCGGCTCGCCATCGCGTTACGAGCAGAAACTGACTACGTGTATAGCGCCGGTGAATCCACGTCTGACACTCTTCTTGCTCTTCGCCCTCCCTTCCAAGGCCGAGGTCCGTACTCGGCTCTCCGTTCCAGGCTGACCCCCGTAGTAACTCACACGACTTTGTCAAGGGCCGCAAACCCTCCTCATCCATCCGGACCCTCGGTCCTTTCCGCATACCTTTTTTTCCTTTCCCCTAAACTACCGCCCGGCACACACCTCCGACGTCAACTTCAAGCTTCCCTTCGTCATATCCATGGACGAACAACTCTGGACGATCCGGAGTAGGGATGTGGCCTTTGTCCCAACTCTCCTCAAGATAGTGTTTGACATTGCATTGCATGCATTGATCCCGCGCTTGTTTGAAACTTTCAGCTGACTCTTTTTTAAGTCTGCCTGACGAACGCCACGCCAATGCAAACATTGTTTGTGGTTCGCCCGCCCTCACATTCGGCTGCTTCGGAACTTTCCTTGCACTTTTGCATTAGTGATCGACCGTCGTTCAGTCTCAGATGCCAAACTCGTCTCTTTGCCATCCATGCGGCAGAAATACTGAGCTCTTCATTGCCGAAACTGGTTTCTCTATTTCCGAACCTTCACACCCCAACGGGCCGTAGTCGGCTTCACGTGAGATGCTGCTCATCTTGAAACGCTCTTGTGGCCCTCGTGACATACGCGGGCCCTAGTGGTGCTGGAGTTGTACAGCGACACCTGTCTTCGATGAC